CAAGCGATAACAGAAAAGAGGGCAATGATACGAACACAACATCCAAATATAATCAAGAGTAAAAGAAACGGAACCACAACAGAGGGCCCGCAATATACAGATGCCATTCCACATCGGGAAGAAATGGCAGGCAAAAGGAACAGGAAGCAGGGGACAGGGGGAGACATAAGAGAAAAAAAAACAAAACAAGGACAGAGGAAGAAACGAGAGAAAATAAAAGAAAGAAGAGAAAAATAAAAGAAAAATAAGAGAAAGAATAAAAGTAAGAATAAAAGAAAAAAAGATAAAAAAACGAAGGTAAATCTGCCATAAGGAAGAGCATGCACCTGCTAGTACAGGCCCGATGCTAGCCGCATCATCTGCAAGAGCAGAGAGCTAGCAATGTCGGGGGATATATTGTCACACTGTGAATCGGAGTGCAAAGGTGGAAAAAGACAAAACAAAAAAAGGAAAGGAATAAGGAAAGCTCCGCCTGTTCGTCACCTCTTACGTACAAGGCCAGCCACACGGATGACAGTTTGAGCACTGGCTGCCCCCATCCCCGCGTGTCACAAGGACCCACTTGCACGCAGCCAATATGTATCTGCACATTGAAACGCTATAGTTATTACGTATTAGTAGGTGTATGTCTATATGTATATGCACATTGAGAACTGCCCGCAGAAAGGGAGAGAAGGACACGAAATGGGAGGGGGGGGACTGTGACAGAGTTTTCCATTGCAGTTTCACCAATTCATCAGGAGGCTGATATATATACATACATGTATGTGGTGTGAGCCTGCAGTCTGCAGAGCCTTCCGTCTGGTGTGGGTGAGTGATAGTGTGCTTTGATTTTCATCACAGGTGCTCTTGAGGGCAGTGGTTGGTAAAATCATCACAGGTGCTCTTGAGGGCAGTGGTTGGTGCCCTCAAGGGTACCCGCAAGCCATGCCGCCCACCTCCCTCCGTCCTCCATGGGTCTGCTCCCTTGGGGAAGTTGAGGTGTGCGGGCTTCCCTATTCCCTACGTCTTTCGGTAATGGTTATTATTAGCATGAAATAATTTGTAAGACGGTTTCTGGCAGTACCTTGCTGCTCGGCTAAGTACGTAGGTGGTCCCCACAACCGTAGAAACTCAATGAACCGGGAAAATCCAGGCCGCAGTTTGCCGGATGTTGGCTCGCGAGTGGTCGCACACATTCTGAAGATCAGCCACGAATCTGGACTGTGCGCCGGTTGATGGTCTGCGGCGAATCTACCCGTCTTTTTTAACCCGAATCTGGACTGTGCCCAGTCATTATACCTGTATTTGGTGCAATTTTCGGACTAGATACGACGATAACACCCGAGCGTTTATAGGGATGAAGACGGTAGGCCGTGCACGGCCGATCACACATCCTGAGTACACTCTGACCACTAATTCTTCTCTCGAGGTCAGCGGGAAATCGGGACCATCGGCGCAGGGCCTGGTAGATTTTCCACACTCTACTGGTCCTTCGAGCCGTTTGTCCCGAATCTCCGCCGGAGATGGTGGAGGCCGTGCAACTCAAATGTGCCACGTAACACCAGCATGCGTTTCAACCCTCTTCCTCTCTTTTTTTACATGACATGCCACCATGTGTTTTGATGCAACGCAATGTGCTGGCTATGCATTTCAACGCAATGTGCTGCCCATCCATTTCAGCTCAGTGTGCCGGCCATGCATTTCAACTCCACGTGCCGGGCATGCATTTCAACTCAACGTGCTGGCATGACTCTCCCTCTCTCTCTGTGTCTGCTTTATGTCCAGTTGCAGTTGTTTGAGAGCATCCGTTGTTGCATTGCTATGCCGTGCCTCTCTCTCTTTGTCTCTTTCCCCCTTGAAACTGTTCTTGGTGTCAAAAGAGCGACGCTGTCTCTACCGAGAAACCGCCTACAGCCATAGGAGCGGGAGAAGAGCGAGGGGTAAGGATTGGGGCGACGATGGGATTGGGATTTGGATGAATATGCCGAAAGAGGACGAATGGTAATGGGAAGGGTGAAGATGATGTGGAGTTTGGATCGCAGTGTAATGGGGAGGGACTGGAGGTGGTGGGGGAGTGCAAGGATAGGGGGAAAGGAGGATGAGTATGGCCGTTGTGGGGGCGTCTAGATCGGTGAAAGGAGGATGGGTACATCCATTTTGGGGGAGTCGGGATCGAGGGAAAGGAGGGAAGCAGGCACACAAGTATCGAGCAGGGCGAGAACGGGAATGAAGACGGGCGCATGAGAATTCGGGGAAAGGAGCCGAGAGAAGGGCAGCAGGAGGCGTGGTTGGAAGGTTGGGTGGGGTCAGACGAAGAAGGTGAGGGAAGGGTGGAGTTGACGGGAAAGGAGAGGGAGCTTTGCACGACGTGAGGGGAGAAAGTTGAGAGAGGGGTGAGGGGAGCATATCGCAATGTCAGGAGCATGCCCAGTGTCAGGGATGGGAGAGAGGGGACACAGGAGAATGGCTCAATGTCGAGGAAGGGGGGAAGAGGGGAGGGAGCGTGATGCAATATCGGGGAGGAGGGGTAGAGGGGAAGGCACATGGGGAATGTCGGCTAGTAGAGGTAGAGGAAAAGGGGGGGGGGGGGAGCATTGCACATCGCTGAGAATGAAGAGAAGAAGATGGAGAGAGACTGGGGTGCGCCTCATGACATGAGAGAAGAGGAGAAAGAGGTGGGGGCTGCTGGATACCGGATAGTGACAGCAGCGGGGAACCGGAGACGGAGAGGAGGGGGAGGGGGGTGAGAGGAGAGGATTTGGAGATTGCAGTGACAATTGATGACGGGAGGAAGACGAAGACATGGGGGAGGAAATGGGGAGGGGGGATTGTAAAGGCCTAGCATCAGGGTAAGAAGAGGAATAGGTGGAGGAGCTGAGTTTGCAATGGCTGCAGGGTGGGGGAAGAAGAGGGGGGCATGGGGAGGGAGGGAGGGGATCGAACCGGGAAGGGTCGGGGTAAAAGGGAGAAAGTTGGGGCATGGGGGGGGGGAAATCGGACGGAGAGGAGTGAACGACTAGGTTGGATCGAGGTGGAAGGAGGAGGGGACTGGACCGCTCTTGCAGAATCGGGAAAGGGCAATAGCGGGTGTAGGGGAGGAGGTGGGGAAAGGGCAATAGCGTGTGTAGGGGAGGAGGTGGGGAAAGAATCGGGTTCTGGACTCGGAAAGGGGCTGTGGCACATGTAAATGAAGAGAGGGGGAGAGCGAGAGAGTACTAACAGAAATCAAAGGAGCAATCCAAGGGGGGGACCGGAAGAGGGGAGGGCGTCGCATTTCTGAGAAACGAGTACTAATGGAAATCAAAGCAGCAACCCAAAGGGGGGTGTTCCTTGGAGGTATTTGACCGGAATCCCACCTTGACTTGGATGTATCTGACCGGTATTACGCGCTCAGTCGAAAAAATCCTAGTGTGAGGATGCTCCGAGTGTTTTGGTACTACCGAGAGGACTGGTTGCTTTAACTGAAGACGACGAATGGGAATGGAAGAAGAAATGACGGAGTGCACAGGAAGAGCATTATGACGAGTGGTTGGGCCTCGCTGCTCCTGCAAAACATTCGAAGTGTACCTGAAGCGAAGTGCATAATGGTCCTGATACAGTCAAAATGTTGGATCAGTTGCAGTGTATCTTGTCCCTCCCTATGGGAGTGCAGATACACGTAGAATGTTGAGTAGTGGAGGGACTCCCCTTATTTGGTTGGTTTAGAACATGTGAAACGGTTTCACCGACGTCGCGGGCCAGACGCAGATCCCAGGGTTCGATCCCATGACCTGTCCCCTTTCCCGTGTACAGTATCCGTTGACCGCTGTGTGTTTGAACCTGCGACCTGTCCTTGAAAGTCGAATGTTCGACTTCTGTACATAGTCTGGTCACGTGGACTCGACCCGTAGACTTCAGTTTTAGTAGTCGTAGGATCAACCTAGGTGATAGCTACTGTAGTTCTGAAAGGTCAAGTCTACATAGCCTAGGACCTTCTAGATGGATCCAAACTGACTTTTCGTAGGGTCTAGGAGTCGGTCTGTAGTTGAGTCAGCAGAGTGTAGTCAGCAAACGGAAGTCCTAGTCCTAACCTAGTCTAATCAGCGGTTCCCAGTCCCAGTCCTCACCTAGTACAGTCAGCAAGTACCAAGTGGGACTGTGTACATTCTGGGCCCGGGACAAGCAGCCAGACCACCGGCGAAACGAGTATAAATAAAGAGGCAGCGTCAAGTCCTTCATTCATTCTGCCTGTGAGCCATGTGGAAGCGCTGTCCGTGCGACTTGTGCATCGGAGGTCTGCAGGTGCCCGAGGGAGAAGTGGGCTAAGTGGTTGAAGAAGCGGCGATAGCCTCTAGCTAGCGTAGGAGGGAGATGACAGCCATAGCTGCCACGTAGGATAGTGTAGGGTGGGTGAGTACAGTATGTGCGTGAGGGACATTCAGGGTGATCCAAGTAAGTGTCAGAGTGTGTGTGTGTGCGTGTGAACAAGTTGCTGGTGGATACACAAGATCGAGAGGGAATCTTTGTCAGGTGCTGGGCACCATAGCCATTCAAGACAACGAATCTGATCTGTGTACCTGGCCACGGTCTTATCTCTGAGCTTTGTGTGGGCGCACTGCGCCAGTTCGTATTTGTCATCTGTTTGCATGCATGTTGGAAGCGAGTTGCGAAGAGTCTGATTGCAACATGTATACTTGGACCACCATACAAAAGAGAGCATTAGAAAGTAAACGCAAAAAAGAAGAAACAGTAAGCAGAAAAGGGTAGGAGAAACAAAAGAGAAATAACTGCAAAGGAAATCCATGAAAAGAGGGTGCCATTGTTGCGTCATTTGTTTATACTCTCTCTCTCTCTCTCTCTCTCTCTCTCTCTCTCTCTCTCTCTCTCTCTCTCTCTCTCTCTCTCTCCCTCCCTCCCTCCCTCTCTCTCCCTCGCTCTCTCTCTCTCTCTGTCTCCTCCTCTCTCTCTCTCTCTGTCTTTTCGTTTCATTCACGAATCCGCTCTTCGTCATTAGTTGTGTGACATTGCCTAAGCCTGAGGGATTGATTCCCTGCCCACCCCGCCTGTGACAGTTGTCTCTCGTCTGCCGGCTGTTTTCAACCCAAGGAAGCGGGCATTGACAGCACAACAGGGATGTCTGCAGCAATGGCAAACGCGTTTCTCTCTGTGACAGCTCCTCTGCGACTCTCAAGAGCGTCTAAGTTTGTCTCTCCAGGGGCGGAAGGGGCCACCGACGTCTCCCAGGTCAATTGCCCACTGTCCTTTGGAGGGGTGAGGGCCACAGAGAGTGCTCTGGGAGCCACAAAATGTGGCACAGTTGCTGGCAGAGGGCGGCGCTGGGATTGGGACTCGGCTCGGCAAAGTCTGAGGTGGGAGACGTGTCAGTGTGAGCGAACTGTGAAGGGAGCGACTTGCCTCATGACTGGGGCACCTCTGAAGACCACCAGTGGGGTTATGTCGGTGGGTGATGGAACGCTGACTCAGTTGGGGACAGTCCCCCTAAGGCAGGGAGAGAAGAAACAGAGACACGCAGCAGCTCTCGCAGCAGGTGCAGGTGTGACAGCGGCGGCAGAGCGACCAATGAGCGCCTCTCCACCATCTCCAAGTGAGTTGGTTGATTCCTTGCTGGATGTGCAGCTGTCTGCTGGAACCTCTGGGACCACTGGAGAGGACGACTTTGTTGGGTCTCCGGGTGCCATTGCTCTCAGAAGAGAGTGTAAGGAGGCGTTGGAGGGTCTGCGATGGCCCACCAATAAGGATGAAGAATATAGGTTCACTGATCTGAGGTCATTACTGAATGAGGCAGTCCTTAGCCAGATCATTCAAACTCAGGTCAGGCAGAGTGGTAATCCGCCAACGACAGAAGAATCCCGGTCTGGATTTGAGGCATTGATAGATATGCCCTGCTGCGAGCTTGAGGAAGCAAGCAGCAGCCGTGTGGTTGTCGTAGATGGTGTGCTAAGCCCATCACTGTCTTCGATCGAAGCATTTGACGAGGGAGATGTCATTGTCGACAGGGCTTCCAATCTCTCTGAGATGGCTTACAGCCGGTTTGTGGAACCTCATCTCGGACGGCTTCACAAAAGTGTCAGCGACAGCGACAGGAAGCTCGACGTCTTTACGCTGATCAATGGCGCCGCTGTTAGAGATGTCACAGTGGTTGTGATTCCTGACGGACTGAAGCTGCAAGCGCCGATTCATATTGTCTACTACTCATCCTGTGCGGGGATAGACGGTGGGGGGGTGAACCTGTCAAATCCCAGAACACTTGTCGTGGTTGGGAAAGGTGCAGAGGTTGATGTCGTTGAAGAGTTTGTCGGCGACTCCACAGGAGGGTACTGGTCCAACTCAGTGCTTGAGTGTGTGCTGGAAGAAGGAGCAACACTGCGGCATGGGTACGTGCAGGAGCAGGCTCGCGGTGCATTCCACATCAAGAGGACGGCTGTTACACAGAAAGAAGCAAGCAGCTACTCCGTGGTTGAAGTGGGCATAGGAGGGCAGGTAACACGGCATAATCTCCAGATCTTTCAGCTGGGACCGGACACAAACACGTCTGTGTCAACGTTCATGCTCGCTGGCCACAAACAACTGCATGACCTGCACAGCAGCATCGTGCTTAATCATCCTAGAGGAAAGTCCAAYCAGCTTCACAAATGCATCGTTACCGACTCCACMGGGCATGGYGTYTTTGATGGGAACGTGAGAGTSAACAGATAYGCACAGCAAACAGATGCAGGCCAGCTTAGTAGAAACCTTCTTCTAGCACCACGAGCAACAGTGAATGTGAAACCGAACTTGCAGATCATTGCGGATGATGTGAAATGCACTCATGGTGCCACAGTTAGTGACCTTGAAGAGGAACAACTTTTCTATTTCCGCGCTCGAGGAATCGATGCAGTTTCTGCTAGAAGTGCACTTGTCTTTTCATTTGGGGCCGAGGTTTTGGAAGAGTTCCCGTATGAGGATTTGGCAAAGAGACTTGAGGGGACTGTGAAGAGAGCGCTTGCCGAGGAGGGAGTTCCAAGTCGTCGTCGTGGTGTGTGAAAACGCCGTGGCTCTGTGCCATTGTTGAGGGTCATGACATTGCTGTGGTCTGCAGTTCTAGGGGAACAAACGGCATGAGGAGCTGGGCGAAAGGGAGGGAGTGAGGGCAGGCTGGGAAGAAGCACCAAGGCTGGCTCTCGTAGATAAATCCACACACTAGGTAGATAGGTTTAACGCTTAAGTACATCCTGCTATCGGCCGTGGGCTCCTGTCAGAATCTGAAAAACGCCGCAGGCCACTGATTTTTTTTTAATCGACGGTGCGCCTGCGCCGTCTTTTTCGGATGGCACCTCGTAGGCGATGAGTTTCTTTTCAGCAAGGCTGGGGCCGTGTACTAGCTAGCGGTTTAACGTTTAAACCCTACATTCAAGGAACATATTTCTCCTTCAGATTTTGCAGCAAGGATCATTTCCATTCCACTTGTGCCGTAACCACTTCTTGTACTTTCTGGTGAATTGTCCATCCATGCCTTATTTAAGAGATAAAAATTTAAAAATGGCAAACGCAGAAATTTGGGAGAGTGAACAGATGCCGCTTTGCTGGCTTTGACTGAACGACCTGGTTGGCTGGGTAGTTGCGGCGAGTGTAAGATTGTAAATAAGTACAACGAAGTTAGGAAAAAAAAATACAAAATCTATGCTCACAAATTCAAAGTCATTGCTTGATATTCTGCAAATTAAATGGTGTCCGATGATCACAGTAACTCTCTCAGGTTTTGTTGCTTTGGCATTTCCTTTCCTTGTGCGTCACAGGCCATATTCTGCATACCTCCCATGACCAAATGTGAACATGAAAAGTATGATGCTATTGGGATACCCTCAGCACGGGTCGTGAGAGACTTTATTAGCTGATGTGGTATTCCCCCAAAGTGATAATGTCTCATTCTCCTGCTGCTTTCAGCAACAGGTCTTAGTGTTTGCAAGAATGTGGTAATGTTCGGTGTCCGTCACTTTGAGAAACAGGCCATTTTGGTAAGGAAGGACACAGCTGACCCACGTTCTTCAGGGGTTGATGTCCATCTTCTGGCAACTGCTCTTCTCATGAGGGACAGAGGGCGGTAGGGTTACTGACATGGGTGTTAGTTTTAATGGGTCCACAGGGGGTCGTTTGCTAAAAAGTACAAAAGTTATGTTAATAAAGGGCCGTTTGAAGTCCTACCATCTGGCCTGCTTTCTGTCTATCGCCCTCACTGTCTCCAACACCAGCATTCGGTTCTTTCTCTTTCTTTGTTCCTCATCTGCTCTTCCACATTATTTATCATGTCAACTGTGTCCTGGCCTCCTCTCCTTATGTCTCCTCCTGCTTTTGGCTGCTGAGTGGCTTGTGCAAGGAATATAAGTGGGAACTATATACAGAAAACCAAATTGCGAAATCACACAGATGTCCAAGTAGCCGCGTATAAGCAGAGAGCACAAATTCACCGCGATCCCCTCCAAAGAAGAGCAATACAATGAAGTAATGACTCATGAGCCAATGTTCAAGCCCTCAGGCCGCACCAATAGAATATCCAAAGTCGCTACTCTCTGTCTGGCGCCCAGCGCCCAGCCTACACTACTTGACTATCCTACCTACATCAGCATTCTCGCAACAGGCTCACTTCGACTCTCGAAGACCAATGTACATGACATCAACACCATAGCCGACCTCTTCCATATACTAGGTACGTATCTCGCTTCCCCTCATCAGACCCTGTCCACGCACACTCGCCTCCTTCCTGATGACCACTGATCGCCCTCTTACCCCCTAGCGCCTTGCAGCCCGACTATGGCTGCTTGCGCTCCACTGCCTAGCAGTGCCCCTCTTCACCACACACGCGCCTGCACGCGCTCTGGTCTCAGCGCAGCACGTAGCGTCTAATGCCACAGCGTAGCAGCGTGACCGCATTGCCTGCATGGCCCGGCCTCCTCGACCCTGGCTGCCCTTCTTCATATATGGAAGTGGCAGCCTCTTCCACACTTTGGCTGTGTGTGGCCTGTCTGGAAGCTTCCACTAGCTTCCGGTTGTCCCTCAGTCCCTGCACCCAGGCCTTGTGATACAATTGAGGTCCTGGGCCCTTTGCAGTTTGACACGGCCTGAGTCTCCAGACTTGGGCCGTTTCCTGCATTTGCATAGGACCCTGGGTATGTACGTTGACAAAGCTGCTTTTGCATAGGCCTGTAGCCACTTCGTGATGTATCGGCCGACCCTGCATTGTGTGTATGTGCCCAGGCGCAACTGCCACGGCCTGGACCCAAATGTACGACACAACTGAGGGAGGCTCACGCGTCAACTTGCGGGCTGTAACAGCCGGAGTATCCACATATGGAAAAATGTCGAATATTGGGCTCTCGTGAATATTCAGGCCCGCCTTCACTTAGGGCGGGCACTTGGCTTGTTTGGGGGCTCTGCCCAGAACAGGTGCATGTCTGATAAGGGCCCTGCGAGGGCTCATTCTTCGCATTCCATCCCCCTTAGCTTCGAAAGTCCGCTGAGATGCTTCATGCTAGTTCCTTCCCCTTGAATTTCCTTTCATACTCGGCCACGATCTGAGGAGCTGCCTTACAAGCTCCTCCCTTGTAAACCATCGATCTTCCTTAGGATCAGTATGATGCCTGGACCGTACTCTGTATTCCCTCACAGGTTTATGCGGTCTACACCTGCCAGCTGGCTTGGTAACAGACATGTCTCTGTGCTCCAGGATATCGTCGATGTCCACGTGACTATCCATGGTTGGGGGCAGCATATAACTCCTTGATGGGAACTGTTCTGTCTCAGCGAAAGGTGCAAGCTTTGAGGCGTGAAACACAGTGTGAGTGCATAGGTGACCAGGGATACGAAGTAAGTACGAGGGACCATCCAAATCACTACCCACAATGTTTAAGACTTTCCAGGGACCGAAATACTGAGGCATTAGTTTTCTAGAGATGAGAATTATTGTCTGAACTCACTAACCTTGACCCAGACACGTTCCCCTACCTGAAATGTAGACTGTCGGCGATGCTTATTCTCAGAAGCAATCATTGCTTCCCGAGATTTCTTTATGTGCTCGACTGTCTGCTGCAACAATTTCTCATACTAGACACCAAATTCAATGGTTCCAGAAGTTGCAGCAGTTCGATTTTCAGGCAGAAGGAAGTCTAGAGCAGTTCTAGGCTTCCATCCCAGGTGCGGCTGATTAGGACTAACGCCGGTGGTGCTATGCACAACATTATTGTACAGACTGGCGATGAGAGGTAATTTCTCATCCCAATCATTGTGGCTGGGCTTGATATAGTGCCTCAGCAGATGCTGCACCACACGGTTCATCTGTTCAGCCTCCCCATTTGCTTCGGGATGATTCCCAGAAGTCATCCGAAGCTGGCTGCCCATCTGTTCAGCAGCCTTCTTCCACATCTCACTGGTAAATCAGACACCTCTATCACTAACAATGGTCTTGGGCAGTCCAAAATCACGCACCCAGTTATCCATGAATAACTTGATGACGTGCTCAGTCCTGGCAGTCTCCGGCATGGCAACTAGTCTAGCATATTTAGTGAACCTATCAACTATGACGAAGATATGCCTTTTTCCACTCTTGCTGGTCACGAGGGTATCCATGAAATCCATGGAAACACTATGTCCCGGACCAGTAGGAATGGGTAGAGGCTTGAATAACCCAAGCGGTGCTAGAGTCCGCAACTTGTCCCACTGACAGACGTGGCAAGTATGCACTTAGTTCTTTGCACCGTCAAGCATGTTAGGCCACCAAAATTGTTGCCAAGTTAGCAGAAGTCTTCTTGTAGCCGAAATGTGCCGTTGCGTCATGGCACTCACCTAAAAATAAACTACGCAAAATTTCTCTAGATGGGATAACTAACCTCTTGAACCCTGCCTTTTCAAGAAAGAGCAACCCATCCACCATCACAAACTCGTGAGATGTGGCCTTGTCCTGGGCCTCGAGTTTGCGAATGATGTCCATCGTGACAAGGTTTTCCTTGTAGGCTTCCACGAAGGATCGAGTGACATCGTCAGATAAGCCAAATTCAGTAATCAGCGCACCTGGGTAGTCTGCCCTACGTGATAGCGCATCAACAACCTTGTTATACTCCCCTTTCACATAGTCTAGCTTGAAGTCATACTGATCTATGACTTTAGCTTGAAGTCGTACTGATCTATGACTTCAATCCATCGTTTGAGTGTGTCAGAGAGAACATGTTGTGTCTTGATCCACTTGAGTGTTTGATGGTCAGTCCTCAAATAGAAGAACCACCCCACCAGATCGTGTCTCCAGTGGACAAGTGCCTTGTAGAGGGCGTAAAGTTCCCTTTCATAGGTGGACTTCGCCAACTTTTTCGATGGCATCTTCTTGCTCATGTACTCGATCAGCCTTAACTTCTTCCCTTCCCGCTGAGCCAACACTGCGCCAGTGTCATGTTGGCTTGCGTCAATGGTCATTACAAATGGCCTTTGAGGATCGGGGACCATGAGAACCTCATGATTTGTAAGGGCATGCTTCAATCTCTTGAAAGCAGCCTCACATGCGTCTGTCCATTCCCATGGAGTGTCAAGGTGCGCTAGATCGGTCAAGGGTGATGCGATTGTACTATAATTTTGTACAAAATTGTGGTAATAACCACACATCGCCAAGAAAGATCTGACCTCAGTCATAAACTGGGGTCGTGGCCAATCCCTAATGCTAGCCACCTTCGCATCTTCAGGCCTAATCCCTTCCGCGGATACTTCATGACCCAAGTACAAGATTTTAGTGCGACCGAACTCGTATTTCTCTAAATTTATCTTATACTTGCCGGTAGAGAGAAAGTACTTTGATGTTGGGCATGCTCATCGATAAGAATGTCGTCGAGGAACAGGACGATAAACTTATCCAAGTCATGGAGGATCTTCCAGTCTAATGGCAATCTGATGGTAGTCGGATTTCAAGTTTATCTTTGTGAAGTACTTACATCCCTACACCCTATCCAATTGGTCATCAATGCGAGGTAGGGGCTCTGCATTCTTAACGGTGATGGCATTGAGGCCCCTATAGTTAATGCACATCCTTAATTATCCCCCCTTGTTCGGGACAAATAGAACTGGTGAGCCGAAGGGGGAGATGCTAGGCCGTATCCAACCCTTTTGTGTGAGCTCTTTCAGTTGTCAACGGAGCTCGTCCAACTCGGTCGAAGCCATCCTATAGATTCTCCCTTTGGGTATCTTGCTCCCAGGGATGATCTCTATGGCATGGACAACCTCCCTGTCTACGAGACCTGTGGGTTCCTCGAACAGATCAGGGTACTTAGCGACGACACTCTTTATCTTTGGGGGTGTTTTAATGACCTCCCCTTTGACAGAGACAAAGACCAGATACATACCCTTCTCTTGGTTCTGTTTATAGTAATTGTAGAAGGCCGATGCGCACAAACACCCATAGGAGTCAATTAACCTGCTAGCCTTATACTTAGCTAGTGTAACGGTCCTCCCATTAGGCAACTCGTGCTTCAACACTTTCTTGTCCCAATCGAATTGGGGCTTGGCAACCACGAGGTAGTACATACCTAACAACATGTCAAATGGCAGGTCGTCACTAACGAGTAACAAAATCTTATGATTCAGTTCCCCTCCTGCATAGGAGAAGGTGCAGACTACATCCTTGACATAGTCCTCTACCAACATGCGTTCTTTGTTGACCAGAGTAGATGCTATCGGTCTACTGAGGCGCTGCACCCGGTCCTGGAGGCGCAATCTCTCAACGCAGTCACGACTTATGAAGTTTCGCGTGGAGTCGATGTCTACGAAGGCACCGCACTTGCGGTCTCCTACACCGACTTCCACAACGAAGTGCTCCCCTGTAGGACCTTTACTTAGTGCCACAGTGCCACCCAGGACTCACGAGGGTCCCTTGCCGACCACTCACTTTGTAGGTCCTCTAAGGCCTCAGACACATCCAACGAGCAGAGTATCGTTGGGTCAGGATGCGTTTGCGGGGTGACTAAGGAGTCAATAGCTTTGGCCAACTCTTGAAACGGGGAGGGTACATCACCCGCCTCAACGAGAGTAGAAGCTGCTACAACTTCTACTGACCCTATGTGTTTTCCGAGCCGGAACTTGTTGAGGCACCACTCTGGGAAGAAGGAATCCCACCTTTAGATGGTATCTTATGTGGGACCTTTGTGTTTTTGCATTTGAACTGCTGGTGGCCATACTTGCCGCAGTTAATGCAAGCACCTCGCTGGTAACGATCCCGCCACACATCTCGATCCAAACCTGCTCGAACCCATGCCGCTATCTTGTGCGGGTTCGGGGTTTGCCCCTGACTCCTCTGCTTATCGCCCTTGTCACGGTCACCTGCCTTGCCTTTTACTACTGCAGCGAGGTTGCTACCCTCAACATCATCCTCGCCATTTATCTTTGTGCTGTCCACAAGATAAGAGAAATCCTCGATCTCGGTCTGAGTACACTCAACCTCGACCATCATCAATCGGCTCCCCTTCTTCTTCCATTCCTCTGGACTCTTCTTCTTTCTCCCGTCCGTAGAGGGTGTTTGAGCACCACCTAGCATCGCCTCCAAATGTAAGGCCTTTTTGCTAAAGGTCTCGAACGTGTGATACTCTAGCCGAGCCTCGCTGGCTAATAAGGTTTTGATGTTTGTGGGAAGAAACCTTAAGAACATGGTCAACAAGACCTGCGGATTGTACTCTACCCCAGGGACGACAATCAAACACTCTACAACAGAGGTGAGCTCGCGCACGGACCTGTACTTCCTAGTATCAAGTTTCAGCAACCCATCAGTGGCAATATGTGCCTGTTGTGGGTTGTGCTGCTGCGCTTCCACCAGATCCATAAAGCTCTCCAGGGTATGGGTCTTAGCCCAATCACCCATGTTCCTGCCGAAACCCTTTGAGGCTACCAATCCATTTAACCAGCGAGCTGCTAATCCTTCCAAATAGGATGCAACAATTATCACTTCCTCCTCTACCAACGTCCTCTTTGCCCTCACCCACACTGGCACCGTTCTCAACCAAGTGTCGAGAGCCTCATCATTCTTATCTCTTGAGAAGGCTGGGGGTGGTTTCAGTGGGGTCTTGGGGTACCGAGGCTGTTGCTGTCCCGCTGGTGGGACAGGTGGCGGCTGTGGTGTAGCTCCAGCCGCTGGACCAGAAGATGAAGAAGCAGCAGTCTGTGCTGCTGCTGCTGATGTACCGCTTGGTGAGGTGCCAGACTGAGGGGGGGTACGGGCCTGCCATCGCTGAGAATTGCAGCGATGGCAAAGCTGTTGACCTAAATCCTGGCCTTTGCATGGCGTTCAGGATCTGGTCCAAGGTGTCCTGGATAGCGTCCAGTTTGCTGTCCATGTATGCATGCATGGACAAGATGCTCGCTTTGACAATCTTCATGTTATTGTCCAAAGCTGAGTCATCTAACCCCTCTAAAGCAGCTTTGTCTGCCGCCCTACCCTTTAGTCTGACACTTCTATTTCTAATCTCATTCTCTCTCTCGCTGGCCTTCTTAAGCTCCTCCTCTAGCCTTATGCGGATCCTCTCTACTTGCTGGAGCTCCATCTGCTCCCTGGTGCGTGGAGGCGGCGAGCGAGCTAGACTGCAAGCCCGCCATCTGATTGGCCCCAGACCCTGTGGTACTGGAAACGGACTGTCCTGTAGTGTCCGGCATTCCCAACGAGAAACTGGACGAGGTTGCTGTAGTTGATGCCGCGAATGTAGCCATTGCTACTGTGCTAGCCGCCACTGCTGCCAATGTTCTCTCTAGCTGCTGCAGCTTCCCTCACAGTCTCAAGATTACGGGCCCTTGCTTTGGCCCTGAGCCTTCTCTTGTCTACCGATAACAGGACCTGGAACACTACAGGTACCCTAAGCGAATCACGCCTAGTGAGCCTTCTATCATCAGCTGTACCTTCACCAGCCTCTGAACCACTCATCGGCTAGGCAGACGCTGTCTGCACTAGAGTCCACTCTGGACCTACCGCAGCATGCGTCTGACTGGTTTTAAAAATAAATAAGATAGAAATAAATATCCGGAGAGTTACCCAGACTACCGTTCAAGCTGTATCAAAAGCATCCACACAGACTGTACACATAATCTAAATCTACTTTGATTAGTTCTCTTCCAACAGCTTCAAAGAGAACTGGCTATGGCAGAACACTGCAGTTTAGTCTAGGCTGTCTGTGAGGTGTCAGCAGTATGTCAACCAACTAATCAAAATAAAAATAGATTAAGTGAGCAGATGTATGCACAATGGGTATTGTTGTGTATGACAGTTGAGTCTCAATTGGAATCTTCCTCCCCTGTATCCAACGTGCCTGTAGCCATCATCAAGCGGCAGTGTCTAATGTGTGCGTTAGCGGCCCACCCCTGTGCCCAAGGCGTATGCTTACGACCAGAACTGCCCGTTCTTTACCCTCGCGTGCAACAAGCCTTACGTCTGACTGATCTGGCTGATCAAGAGGCAGTTTAAGGACAGCCCTCAAGGTCCTCAGGAAATATTTAACGGCGCAATCAGGATGACGATCACAGCCAGTGGACAGATCAGATTCCCGCCAGAAATATTTATAGACGGTCTGGTTTCCGTCTGCTTAGGACTGGTCAGTCTGCACACCCCTTCTATCAGCGCAGCAAAGAGCCTTAATGGACAAAGCAGCATGGCCTGCGTGTACTACTCCTATGGGTTGGCATGGTGACCATGACCCGTGCTTCGACCAGGGCCCTTCAGAGGCACCGCCCTCTCCTGCTAGATGTGCCACCGGGAAGAATGTCATCTCTCAAGGTAGAGCGCTCACGACTCCTCACACAAAAGAGAGGACACTCAAGGTTGGACTCGCTTCCTCGCGGTGAGAAGAGAGATTGAGAGGGTAGATAAGGTAAGGGAACAACGTACCTGGAGATAGATGACCCCAACCACAGATTTCTCACCAATTGAGCCGACGTGCATTTTGATGACTGGTCATAGCCTCGGTACCACCCACAACGCAATGCAGTGCCACCTCAGCCAAAATGCCACATCAGCATGCTCTCATCATCACACATACATCCGCTGTCGCCACAGCTCCCACGCTGTCGCCACAGCCTTCCAGTGGCCGGCCCCTCTACCTGGGCCCCACTATATCAAGCCAGCACCAAAGTATCCTTACTGCACAGAAGCATCGTCAGCGCACCAAGCAACAATGTCGCCAGCGCCAGGTACGCGGTAATCAAGAAGCAGCTCCTATACCAAATTGCAAGGAATATGAGTGGGAACGATATACAGAAAACCAAATTGCGAAATCACACAGATGTCCAAGTAGCCGCGTACAAGCAGGGAGCGCAAATGCACGGAGATCCCATCCAAATAAGAGCAATACAATGAAGTAATGAGCCAATGTTCAAGCCCTCAGGCCGCACCAACACAGTATCCAAAGTCACTCCTCTATGTCTGGCGCCCAGCACCCAGCCTACGCTACTTTACAATCCTACCTACAGCTGTGTTCAGGCAACAGGCTCACTTCGACTCTCGAAGACCAATGTACACGACGTCAACACCATAACCGACCTCTTCCATGTACCAGGTACGTATCTCGCTTCCCCTCATCAGACCCTGTCCACCCACACTCGCCTCCTTCCTGAAGACCACCGATCACCCTCTTACCCCCTAGCGCCCTGCAGCCCGGCTATGGCTGCTTGCGCTCCGCTGCCCAGCAGCGCCCCTCTTCACCACACACGCGCCCACACGCGCTCTGGCCTCAGCGCAGCACGCAGCCTCTAATGCTACAGCGTAGCAGCGTGACCGCATTGCCTGCGTGGGCCAGCCTCCTCAACCCTGGCTGCCCTTCTTCCTATATGGAAGTGGCAGCCTCTGCTTGGCTGCGTGTGGCCTGGCTGGAAGCTTCCACTAGCTTCTGGTTGGGCCCCAGTCCCTGCGCCCAGGCCTCGTGATACAGTTACAGTTGGACACGGCCTGAGTCTCCAGACTTGGGCCGTTTCCTGCATTTGCACAGGACCCGGGGTATGTACGTCGACAGAGCTGCTTTTGCGTAGGCCTGTAGCCACTTCATGATGTATCGGCCCTGCATTGTGTGTATGTGCCCAGGTGCAACTGCCACGGCCTGGGCCCAACTGTACGACGCAGCTTAGGGAGGCTCATGCGTCCAATCAACCAACTCAACCAACTGGCAGGCTGTAACAGCTGGAGTATCCACATATGGAAAAATGTCGAATTTTGGGCTCTCGGGAATATTCAGGCCCGCCTTCACTTAGGGCGGGCACTTGGCTTGCTGGGGGCCTCTGCCCAGAACAGGTGCATGTCTGATAAGGGCCCCGTGAGGGCTCATTCCTCACACTTGGTCTCTTTTCCCTTTCTCTTAGCTCTACTTTTGGTAGCTCACGTCCCCATTCTGCCTGCCTTCTCTTCTCCTTTTCTTCTTCTCTCATGCAGTGGTTGTCCCGTTTCCCACCACCTGCATTCCATTTGGATGAAACAAAAGCCTTCAGCACACCCCCCTGCTCATTTGTTATCTGGGGTGCCACTGGGTCTTTTCTGCCTTGACAATGGGGGGTGTCTATCTGTTGCTGATCTGGCTGCGCTGTCATGGATGCTTCCTCCGGCAGTGCGGCCTCAGGAGGAGATGGAGAGATGACAGCGGGCGGTGTCCCTGTCTGGCGCATTGTTCTCGTTCTCCTCGAGGGAGGTAGTCACAAACTCAACAGTCAAAAGTGCGTTGCCTGCTTCTCCTCGGACAGCCTCCTAATTGCAGATTGACAACCTTGGACACAACAAAGCATCAAGTGATGTTCCGAGTGCGCAACTGCACAGTGATTCCTGTTGCACAATTGCCACCACTGTATCTCTCAATCAATGGCTCAGAATCCTCAACTGTCAAAGCCCACCCTCACTCATTGGCGTCAACAGCAGACATTGGGGTATATAATTTTGATATGCTCTTGGTGTATGTAGTCGACCAGGAAGGGGTATGTTGATGGAATTCAAATTAATGAGTCTGATGGAATTCAAATTAATGAGTCTCATGGAATTCAAATTAATGGGTCTGAAACCTCCAATAGCTTGTGAACGCTGGAACAAAAAATGGAGGATACGTAGGAGGGTCGCCAATTTCCCCCGTCGTTCTACAAAATGACATTGGCACGGCCGCCGATGTGTGACAAGTGACCACCACAGGGTCGCCAGTGTGTGACATGTGACCACGGCATTTTTTGATTTTTTTTCGCAAAATCAACAACGCACAACATCAAACGTTGTCATTTGTCATGCAACCAACACCGGATAACTGTTCAAAACACTACCAACCATTTGTACAAATAGTCGTCTGTCCCGTGATGCTGAAACCGATTCTGACGTCGTCAGACTGCTGATCAACATTCAGCATCTACATTAGTTACCGTACTGTTTGATTACTTTTACCTTGACACTAATCAACAAAAGAACAGATGACAAGTTTTTAGTCTGATTTTCCTCAATTGTTACACATCCTTCCACTCTACCATGCATTTACTTGGTTACTACTCGCCCGTAGCGAGCGCTCTATGTTTGATACTTCGTTCCGGTTTTTTTTTTTGGTGCTATGTTTGATCCTCTCTCTCTCTCTCTCTCTCTCTCTCTCTCTCTCTCTCTCTCTCTCTCTCTCTCTCTCTCTCTNTCTCTCTCTCTCTCTCTCTCTCTCTCTCTCTCTCTCTCTCTCTCTCTCTCTCTCTGTGTGTGTGTGTGTGTGTGTGTGTGTGTGTGTGTGTGAAGTTCCAGCCATTTTCTTGATCTTGTTCAATTGGATGTCATTTTGCCAGTACTTGGATGCAAAGGTGCTGATGGGGTTGTGGTCCTCCCTGACGGTATTGTTTGCTGTGCTTTTGGATTTCCAGTGGCCAAAAACAGAAAATTGAAAAAAGAATACGGACTAGGGGGCGAGTGTAGCCATGGCTGGCGTCGTGAGCTCCAGGACGACGATGGTTGTTGACACGTCATCTTCTGAATTGCTTTCACCATTTGAGAGGGGGAGGCACGGGGGTCACATGTCACAGCCACAGAGCTCGGGATGGGTGGTTGATGCTGTACTTCCATGTGGAACTCAAGCCTGCTTGACACGTGTCAACTTCTCAAGGTGCCTTTCAACGAGTTGCTGGTCGCACTGGCATAGGTTAGCCCCCAAGCCCCACGTGGGACATCAATACCCTCCTCACCCTGTTCTCCGCTGCCTCTTTCCGCCACTTCCTCACATTTTGTTTCCCCCTGGCAATCAAGTACTTGGTGGCCGTTTTTGCTTCCCTAATTCAATGACTGGTTCGGTGCGATTGAATTGTAAGTCTGTATATCTGTCTGGTGGCTGAGTGGCATGTGCCTGGGACTAACAATGAAGATGGAGAACTGCAAAGGGCTATATGCCTTCTTCGGTCAGAAGCAAAGGCAAGAAAAGAATACTGTGTGTGTGTGGGTGTGTTGTCATGTCTGCTTCGCACACCTCCACAAAAAGAAAACATGGATGTGCCAGACCCTTTCATCGGACTTTCACCGACTTCTCAGGAGGTCGAACCCCGACAGTCTGCCCATTTGACTGATGGGTAAGGACTCACCATACCAGCCAGGGTAAAGCAATACCCCTGAGAAAAGTGGTCGGCTTTACTCACTCGAGCCCTGTAATCCTGGCCAACTGCCGGTCCAGAACCCTCACAAGAACAGCAGTAGTTAAAGAAAGCAGTCTGTCAAAGCCTTAAAACCCACGTGTGTGTGTGTGTGTGTGTGTGTGTGTGTGTGTGTGTGTGTGTGTGTGTGTGTGTGTGTGTGTGTGTGCGCGTGTGTGTTGTCATGTTCGCTATACACAGCTCGT